GATGGCTGAATATGGGAACAAATTCTTGGCTTCAGATGCCCTGTAGTTAAGTCACCTCATCATCTGCAGTATTTAGAATCTCAGCGCTTGTAAATAAAGCTGTGGTGCTTGCAGGAAAAAGCATCATCCTGTATTCTGCTGACCCCAGAACTGCTTTCCTGACATTTGAGCTATACTTCCGAAGCTTGCTTAACTCCTGCAGCCTTGTCTTTGCCTTCCCGCTCCCAGGCAGAAGCCTATGACCTCTCAACCACTGCAAGATGAGAGGAGACAGAAAAAGCAAAGAGAAAGATCTGGCAAAAATTCTCTCTTGTACCATGCTGTACTACTACCGTATCTGAACAACCCCCTCTTTTATTGCCTATAAAAAGAGACATATCAGAGTATGGTAACACTTTGAACATTCAGATTAGCAGCAGAAAGCTTCTGCCTGTCAGTCACTGCTAGAGCCTCAGAAGGCACTGATGCCGAGAGCAAGAGAACGCTCAGTGCAAGGCCCACATGGATTAAGTCATCAGAAACAGACCTTTAATGCCTAAATCCAAGATGATCTGAGCCACCACCTTGGCCCAGCAGGGCCCTGGCTGTAGTTAGCTCTTGACATGCTCAGGAGCAGAGCCTTCATTCTTCACCTATTTCAGGGGCCAGACAGCACTACTGCCCTTGCCCATGGCCTTCCAGAGCAGTTTAGCCCCACTGACCATTCCCACTCTCTCCTGCAGCCTTACACACTTTGTACCACTCCAGCTTGAGGCACAGCAACATGCAGGGGAGCAGTCAGTAAGGACTATGTGCAAGGCGCACATCCTCTCACAGGAGCAGAGGCACACTCACATGTCTGGCACGCGTTCAGGACAGGAGCTTCTTTCCTACCACTCCACTACACTGACCTACTGCCTGATCAAATTTCTCCTCCTAAATGCTAAATCAAGTCACTCTTCTCAACTATCCCGTGCAGTGGAAAGGAAGCTAGGAACACTGAAGGAGGATCAGTGTTCTCTTCAACGTGCCTACAATGCAACATTTAAAGCGCTGTGAACAGAGACTTCTAGAGGCCATCAGGGTGCAAACCAACATCCTCTGCAGTAGCAGAGAATCCTAAAATTAAATTAGGACACAAGAACAAGCATATTTCCAGGCAGCATCAGGTGACAATGTGGGAAACTATAAAGAGATCCCTGGAGTAATGAAAGTAAGAGTTAATTAATGCTCCCTGCATAAGGAAACCACACCCTGATTAGGGGAGAGAAGTGGGCAGATCCTCACGGAACAATTAGCTGACTGTGGGGAAACACTCGCTCCTTACTAGCGGGTCCCAGGAGTTCAGCCTATGCAAACAGCTCTGTACTCTGAACACGGGATCCCAAGGTGACTGCCTGGACATACCCAAGTCCAGAAACGCAAGCCCAGCTCTGGACAGACTGGGAAGGTGAATCAGCCAAAGGAGCACAGTCAGCACCAACAACTTGGGCTTGGATCACGGGTAATGGTTTGTGTTGGAAAGGACCTTAAAGCTCATCCAGTTCCAACCCTCTGCATGGGCAGGGACACCTTCCACTGGAGCAGGTGGCTCCAAGCCCCATCCAACCTGGCCTTGAACACTGCCAGGGATGCTCTCAAGTTTAAAAGTACACCCCACCTGAAGGAATAAGGTGCCAAAGCCAGTAAGTACGTGCTTAAAGAAATAGTGGAAATACCGCAGAGTCATACTCACTCTGCACAATTATATGTAATCCCTGCTCTTAAGACTTCCTCCTCAGTAGTTCAACATCATGTGCTTCCACCGTAACACATATTCTGACATTGTTTATGTAAGTTATTTATGTAACACCAGAAAGAAACGCACATCTAATCTACCAGCACAGCTCACTGCTGATGGGCATCGCTATACACGTGCTGCTCCACAGACTTCCCAGGAACTTGCGTCCACAGCTGAAGATAAGAGCAGCAAGTTCTTTGGGGAGGAAAATCTTTTCCTTATGAGCAAGAGCACAGCGCAATCGTAAAGCTGGTGTTTGCTTGTGCGTAAAGCACAGGAACTGGTCACCACCTGGATCAGAGCTGTGCCTCTAGACCAGCTGAAGGACGTCACACACTACGTACTCTAAGGCAAAGAGGTGACCAATGCAAGATGCAATGGGCACACTTGCCCTGAACAGTCTGGAAAAGTGGCAAACTAATGGATGCCTTTGTTTTCTTATCGTTACTTGGCTCTGTGCAAGTGAGAAGTCCTGCTTTTCCAGTAATGGCCTTGAACACGCAAGCTAAGGTGCTTGGCTGACCACAAACCACAAGATGGAGAAAACTTATCTTCCGTTTCCTAGTCCTTCACCAGGGAATGAAGGACAGGAATGGCAGGAATACCTGGCATCACTCTCACCGAGCTAAAGACAACGACACACCCCATTATAAGGACTTTACCGTTATTTCCAAGGTATAATCACAGAGCTGCTGCGGCTGACAAACAACAAGCCTCAGGAAGACAGGGCCAAACCAAAGCCTCAAACACCCCCCAACCAGTTCCGAGGTGCCAGGAGTGAATATCTCAAGTAGCCACCAAGTACCCTGAAATGAAAGCTCCTGTTGTTACTGGGGGTAGCACCCGAGCTCGCACGTCTGCGTTTAGATCCAAGGTGAAGGCTGCATGAGCACTCAAAGGGCAGAGCATTCACCGGGAGCAGGCTCTCGTCAGAGACCCCCCCACGGCAGCGCAGCCCTGAACCAGCCGCGCTCTCCCGCCCTGCGCAGGCCGCCAGCGTGCGGCATCGCTAACCCGGGGCTCTCTGCAGCCGCACCGGGCCGGGCCGGGCCGAGCCCCCCAGGGTCCCTTCCTCCGCCCCACCCCGCGCTACTCCCGCTGCCGCCGCCCTCACCTGGGGAGTAGAGCTCGGCCAGCTCGCGGGCCCCGGCGTGCTGCGCGCCCCACCGCCGGCTGCCGCCCTCGGGCTCCTCCGCGGCCTCCGCCTGCGGCCCCTCCGCCTCCGCGCGGACGCTGTCGGCGGCGCCGGCGCTCGCCATGGCCCGGCCCCGCGGCGGCTGCTGCTCCTGGAGGCCGGCGGGCGGCGGCGGGCAGCGCCCAGGGCCCGGCGGCGGAGCTGCGGCCCGCGGCAGCATCGGGAAACGGGGCCGAGCCGCGCCGCTGCGGGAGGGGAGGGGGGAACGGGACGGACGGGCGCGGCCCCGGGGCTGCGGGGTGCCCCGGCGGCAGCCCCGTAACGTGCCGGTGCAGCGCTGCGTCCGCTGGCATCCAGCGGTCCTTTGCCCACCGGTGGCCCCAAAGAAACGCACCCCGGGGTGGGAGAGAAAGCCCCACACGATGTCTCAGTACCAGAGTGCGCCTATGAGCATGATTTCTGCAGCGGACTTACCTGGGCATCAGATAAAATGGCACTAAAATAACAAGTGTTTCAAATAATTAAACAGATTTCACTTAAACATTTAAAATGGATCCATTTGCAGTGGGTGAAACACTAAACCAGGTGTCTGATTGATCATAGAATCATAGAACCATGGAATGGTTTGGGTTGGAAGGGTCCTTAAAGCTCATCCAGTTCCAACCCCCTGCCACAGGCAGGGACCCCTTCCACTAGAGCAGGGTGCTCCAAGCCCCTGTGTCCAACCTGGCCTTGAACACTGCCAGGGATGGGGCAGCCACAGCTTCTCTGGGCACCCTGTGCCAGGGCCTCAGCACCCTCACAGGTGATACTTGTGCCAGGTCACTTGTAGGTTTCCTGACACTGCTTCACTTTCAGGGTGCTGTTTCCACCAGCACTATGCCCATGCGGTGCCAGACCCCTGTGGTGGCACGTTGGGTGTGGCAGCTCTTGGAGCTCCACTGGAGCCTGTGAGTAGAAGGTGTCCCAGCCCATGGCAGGGAACTGGATGATCTTTAAGGTCCTTCCCAAGGCAAACCCAAACCATTCCATGGTTCCATAGTCCCACATCTAGAGCAAGGCTACTGAGACTCTGAATGGAACTCTGCACTGAGAGTGTTTCCGGAGGAAAACCTGTGTGCTCTTTGGGGCGACAAGGGCTGTATCGGGACACGACAGACCGCACTGCTGCATCCCTGTCGGGTTTGTTCAGGGGCAGCAGACACCAGGCCCCACCGTGCCGTGCCCGTCCCGCTGCCCGCTCCCGGGAAACAGGCCGGGGGCTGTTCGGGCGGCACAGCCGGCGGCGCGGCTGCAGCGGCCTCGGGGCGAGCAGCGTTCAAACGCCCGCCCTGCGCGGGCCGGGCCGCCGGTTACCGCCAACTGCCTCGCCCCGGCCCCGGCCCCGCCCCGTGCCCGCCGCGCGCCGCTAGATGGCGCCCCAAGCCCGGTGACGGGCCCGGCCGAGGGGGCGGCGCGGGCTGGGTGCGAAGCTCGGTGCCCGCCCGGAGCTGCCGTGACCCCCGTTCAGCCACAGCCACCCCGGGACGGGGACACGGGACACGCCGACACCGACTGCCCCCGGCACAGCCCTGGGCACTGCCTCACCCTGTGCTGGCACCTGCCAGGGCTCCTGGAGCTCCTGCAGCCCCGGCTGCTGCCCACCACCGGCACGGGCCCGTCGGTGCAGCGCACCCTCCGGGCTCACCTCTCTCCCCTTTACACTTAGGCAATTCCAGTCTGTTCCCGCTCCACGAGGCACAAAGGGAGCAGAAACTGGCTGCAGCTCCCTTGCTGGGCTCTGGCATGGGAAAGTGTCAGTGGGTGGGAGAGCTGGAATGGCCACTCCTACGGCTCCCGTCTGAAGCTGTAAATGCAAAGACACGGAGACGACAGGGACCAAAAGGCGAGGTGTGTGGAGGATGGTACTCCATGGCTATCCCTGCCTGGTACCCAGTCCACCAAGGCCAGCTGCCAGATGACACAGACCAGCCCAGGGGCTGCTTTTAGGTGCCAGGACTCACACTAACAAGTCCTAACTGATGCCTGGCAGCTCCACTTTCTCCATGGTGCTCGACACAAGATTGAGAGCAGAGGGAAAAGAAAGTATTTGTACAGTCAAGGGCATGGACCTTAATGCTTTTAATGAAGAAAAGGCTTGTTTCTTAAGCCCGCTCTCCCATCACTCTCTCTAAGTCCTCCCTCGGTTTATGTCACCCCAGCAGCACACCATGGAGTCCCAGTTACCCAGCCTACATCCTCAGCACCTCTGAACACCTCTCCTCTTTTAGAAACTGCCTAGATGAATTCACAAGTTCTGTACTAGGAAATTCTGACACTTGGCAAGGTCTCCTGGAGGGACAGGATTCCTGTTCCCTTGATGGATCTTTTGAAAGCTTGCATGTATTAGAAAAAAGCATTAATACATGATCATAATAAATCCATCAAAGAAAGAGGCCACAATTACCCAGGAAATGTCAGACAACTACGGAAAACTTCTGGAAAGCTGGTGGACAGCAGCTTCTTTGCCATTTTTTTTTTTTTTTTTTTTGGAATACAAGGGAACAGGCTACTCATAAACCACAAAGTCACCTCTTACAGTCCCTGCTTGGAAAGACAGCCCATGTCTTGCCAGCCAAATGGCTTCAGCGCAGCTCTCTGCAACACAGGACTGGAGACTGCAGCTTCTGCTTTGCCACTGTCCCATTCCGGGGGTGTTGGTGCGCACTCTGGCTCTCCCTCCTTCTCTGTCTCTTGCAGAGCCACAGAGTGGACGCTCTGACCTCCCATCTGCTCTGGAAAATTTTCTGTTGGGTCGGGGAAGGTATTTTGCTCATGTTGTCTGCAGGCAGCGGTGCCAATCTCCAGGTGTCGTCCCTGCAGCACTGTGGGGCAAAGAGCAACGTGTAGATAAAGTGGGATTGAGCAACGCAGCGCTGCAAATGCTAGGTCAGAGGTGAGCAAAAAATCAGCAGAAGACCAACAAATACCCGAGCATCACTGTGTTACATGGAAACAAGGGGAGAGGGAGCACTTAGGGAGGGGGAGGACTCTGGTCTCTAACAAAAGAAGTGAAGGAGGCCAGGAGACAGAGCCTGCAAGTGCCTGGGGAGCTCCCTGCCACTGGAGACTGCAAGGCAGGGTATCGCTGCTGCGGTTTCAGAAGAGAGGAACGCATGTGGCAATCATTTTTTATGTTAAAATGAGGCAAAGTCTTGAGGCTGGTCTCAGGGCTGGGGGAGGCGGAAGGAGAGCCAACCTCTCTCCGAGTTGAGACATTGCCCCTGCCTGACATTTCATAAGTGCTGCTTTTTTACAGCAGAGAACAGCAAGTGGAAAGCAAGAGACTGAAATCTGGCCTCTGCCAGGTACAACTTAAGAGTTGTCGTTGGCATAAGGTGTGCGGCTGTATAAAGAGGTACCTGGGGGTAGGAAGAGGAGCAAACACAGCTCACAACATGCTCAGAAATACATTTCAATTTTACTTCTCTGTTTTGCAGCCCTTATTGCAACATCGCTCCACTTAAGCCAGTCTTTCACGCAAGGTCCCCTCCTACCCCCCCGAGACCTTCCCACACCACCTCTGTGCTCTCTCCCAGCCTGCCTGTTTGCATGGATACCGCTCTGCTCTGGAACCCCTCACATTCTCCTCTTCAGCCCATTTCCAACACACTACCTACAGCACCTTGTTCACTGATGCAACTCTCAACTTCTGGCACAAGCCTCTTTCCTCTTTGTCCCTCTTCTGCCCATCCTTGTTGTTTTGCTCTGCAGGGCAGGGTGAGAGGCTGTGCTCACACACGGTTTAGCATGCTATAGCTCTGATCTTACTGATCTGTTAAGAGCTACTGCAAGGGAAGTAATACTTGAAACAGGTCTGCAGCAAGAAACATCAGAAATTACAGACAGCCCAGAGTATGGTCCTCAGCCCACAGACCTTATAAACACTTCAGTGTTTGAGCCATCACCATTAAACCAACAGCGTCTCCCCAGAGCTGGTGTCCTTCCAGGGACAGCTGCTGTAGACCTGGAGCGCATGAACTGGAAAGCTTGCAAAAAATCCTGGAAAAGAAGACCATTTCCAGGAAGAAAATGCCTTTGCAATGCTTTATCGTAGGTCTGAGCCCGGAGCTGGAAAGTTGTGGCTTTTACAGGACAAAAGAAAAACTGAAGAGCAGAATTTAATTCATGAGAGAAATGAGCACTGAGATTCTCCCCTCCACCTTTTCTGGTATCTTTCTGTTACCATCCCAGTGTCTACCTTGTTTCACGCATGAATGTAGAGGGATCTGGATTCTATTGCATCAGATTTCTTTTTGCTCAAATATGCTTTATGTTCTTACTAAGTGCTTTGTGAGTTATGCTGTCTCTCCTTCCTCAGCTGACTAGTTCTGAAGAAAAGAAAGCATGGAATCACTAGGAAGAAGGTGCTTTCACAGAAGGGCTGCCTTCCTGTTCAAAATTACTCTGTTGGGAGACAGAGCAAACCTGCTGCCCTTGGGTTTTTCACAGCAGTGCCTGGATCCCTTCACCAGGAATCTCTGTATCTATTCTCCTATCTAAAGCATCTCTCTGAAGAGTTTTCCAGGATGACTACTAGCAGCCTCTGCACATGTGGCCAGGCCAAGGGACAGAGCTCAGTGTGCTCAGGCCTCCCCTCAACCCTCACGGTGCGAGGCTCTCTCTGCACCTGTTCCCATTCCAAAAACCCCATTTCTGGCCATGCATTTGTTATGACAAGTGCAGAAACAATTTATGAGAGACCAGAGTTAGCTCAGAACCTGCTTGTCGAATGCCAGGGTTTTGGATAAGTGGTTAGAGCCGCCGACAAGGTTCCCATGAGAAGCTGAGAACGGACGTTGGCTCCATGAGAGTGGATGCTGGGGTTTGAGGTGAGCTGGAGGAAGTTTAAAGCGATTCAGGTACAGCAGGGAGGTGAGGGGGGAGAAGGCAAGGAGGGGACAAGCTGGGCATCCAACCTCAATTACCACCCTGGCTGACGTGTGATCTCGGTGACTACAGGATTACTCAGCACTGGCCTGGAAGCGAGGTGTGGGCCACACCATCCCTGATATAATCTGTTTCACATGACAGTTGCACAGACATTGTATTTTGCTAGGGAAGATCAGCCCAGGCAGCAGCACAACTGCTGCAGAGCAGGGGAGGATAGGTCAGAAGCTTGAAGAGGGCAAAGTGAGATCTCCAAAAATGTCTTGAAAAACTGCCCAGGAAAGTCACCAAACACTCTGAGAGCTCGACTTTACCCAGCAGCAGCGGTGGGCTGGAGACCTGTCAGGGTAATGCTGAGAAAGGCATCACTACAGCAGGAGACCTCCTGCTCTGGGTCCCTGAGATGCCTGGGAGGTAGGAAGCACATGAGACCAACTTTCAAGAGCTCGGTTACAAGGGCCAGTTGGGGCAGCGGCTGGAGGTAACTGCCAGATCAGAATGCAGGATAAAGGCGCAGAACGAGGGAGTAAACAGCCAGAAGAACAAGCCCTGGCTCACTGCGACTTGCCAGTATTTGCACCCAATACAGATGTTTGTATTTATGAAGGTATGGGCTCCAACTCCAGCCTCCAGACCCAGCGCTCTGGCCAGGCCCAGCTCCAATTTAATCTCTGGTGCATTCACCAAAGATTAACTTGGTAGATAAAGATGGAACTAGAACTATTTGAAGCCTGAAAACCTGTTAGGGTACTTCTGCTATGGAAAGAAAAGAAATCCTTTTAAAATGTGGAAAGAAAAAGCAAATTAAAAACTAAAGTGAGAAAAAGTCCGATGATCACTGCCTGATTCTTGAATTCTTCCTCTTTTCAAAGTTCTGAGGTTTGGACATTATGAACAGTTGACTGTTTGAATCGTATAATGCAATACCTGTTCCTCTGGCTTAACGTTACAATATTTCCCACACCGCAGGATTGCTTCACATTATTCTAAGAGGCAATGTCATTTTCCCTGCAGTGCTGGGTCTTCTTTACTGAGGCGAAGGACACTCCTACTTCCTTTAATTATATGTTTTGTTTTAAATTAATGTCCTTTATTCTGGGGATGAATCACCAGCTTGTAGACAGGTAAATGTGGGAGTAAGAGAGTGAAAATATAAGTTTGATTCCCAAGGTGGGTGTCTTTAATTAAAACGGACATCAAGATTCAGTCTTCCTTCCCAAACTTAACCCGCGATTCTAAAAACATTTGGATTCCATGTTTCTATGCACGTACCTCACTTCCCTTCTGAACCGTGTGGGATACAGTCAGTCCCCTTTGATTCCCTGTCGCTTGTGTACCCTCCTGACAGTTGCACCATATCACACAAAGCAAATATGGCAAGGCAAACTATAAAGCCACCATCCCTGAACAAAGAGATGGCAAGGGGAGCTCTGCACTGGCTCGACTCTCGCTGCTGGCATGCAGGGGGCCTGCAGCAGCCTCGTGCCCTGCTCCGACCCCTCTTTGCTCCTCTCTGTGCCCATTCAGATGGATGGTGCTCACTGCCCTGGGACTGACTCAAGCAAGCACGGGACGGAGAATAACGGGAGCTGTCTGTTTGTAGCCTTTCCCCTGCCTCACCTAAAGGGCTGCGGAAAATCTCTCTTTCCCTCTATTTCCCAAGGGAACAGGGGCGCAGCCGGGACCCGCACCCCCCGCCTCGGCAGCGCCGCCAGCCCCCAGCCCGCTCCCGGCAGCGAAGGACGGAGCCCCGCGGGCACGGAGCCGGCGGTACCGTCCCGACCCACGTGTGTGCGTGTCCCCCGGACCCCAGCTCCCGCCGCCCCTGCGGGGCCCGGCCCCCCGCTTCCCCGCTCAGTCCCGTCCGCAGCGCGGCCGCTCGGCGGGCACCGCACTGGAACACCCGCCCCGGGAGCCTCCTCCGGGGCAGCGGCGGCAGTTACCGAGCATACCGAGCGTGGCAGGCTGCCAGGCGGTGACGCGCCTGTTGCTATGGGATACACCCCCCCTATAAATAACCGGGGAAAGGAACTTTCCTAAGTCAGAGACTTTAGGACACGGGACCCAGAACCAGATGGTCCGGACGAGACGCTCCAGCTCCCGCCGCAGCTCCCGGAGCGGTGAAGCCCCGCCGAGCCGCAGGACCTGACCCAGCCTCGGTGGGCAGCGCAGCCGGGGGCCGTGCCCCGCACCGGAGGTTGAGGCCGGGTCCGGAGCCCCCCCATACAGCCCCAACCCCGACGGCGGCAGCCTGACCCTCTGCCGGGGGGGCCTCCCGCGTCCTGTCCTCCTCCCCGCATCCCCCTTTGCTTTCATGCAACGCCTGGTGGCCTGGGACGCAGCATGCCTCCCCATCCAGCCTCCCGCCTTTAAATCCATGGAAGTGGCTAATTTCTATTACGAGGCGGACTGTCTGGCTGCTCTCAACAAGCTGCACCCGCGGGCGGCCGGGGGCCGCTCCATGACCGAGCTCACCGTAGGGGACCACGAGAGAGCCATCGACTTCAGCCCCTACCTGGACCCCCTGGCATCGCAGCCGCCGGCGCAGCCGCCTTCCGCCGCCGCAGCAGCAGGGGGCAACTTTGAGCCTCCCTGCAGCAGCGGCGCCGGCCAAGATTTCCTTTCCGATCTCTTCGCCGAGGACTGTAAAGGCAGCGGCGGGAGCAAGAAGCCCGACTACACCTACATCAGCCTCTCCCGGCACAGCCACCCCTGCGCCAGCCAGAGCCACAAACCGGGGGGGCTGCCGGGCTGCTTCCCGCCCCAGATCGTGGAGACCAAGGTGGAGCCGGTCTTCGAGACACTGGACTCTTGCAAAGGGCCCCGTAAGGAAGAAGGGGGAGCCGGGCCGGGACCGGGGGGCATGTCCTCACCCTACGGCAGCACCGTGCGCTCCTACCTGGGTTACCAGTCGGTGCCGAGCGGCAGCAGCGGGAACCTGTCCACCTCGTCCTCCTCCAGCCCCCCCGGCACCCCAAATCCCTCCGAGTCCTCCAAGTCCGCAGCCGCCGCCGCCGGCGGCTACTCCGGCCCCGCGGCGGGCAAGAACAAGCCTAAGAAGTGCGTGGACAAGCACAGCGACGAGTACAAGCTCCGCCGGGAGAGGAACAACATCGCGGTGCGCAAGAGCCGCGACAAAGCGAAAATGCGCAACCTGGAGACGCAGCACAAAGTCTTGGAACTGACGGCCGAGAACGAGCGGCTGCAGAAGAAGGTGGAGCAGCTCTCCCGGGAGCTCAGCACCCTCAGGAACTTGTTCAAACAGCTGCCCGAGCCCCTGCTCGCCTCCTCGCCTCGCTGCTGACCCCCGGCCGGGCCGCGGGGCTAGCGGAGCCGCCGGCTCCTCGCCCCGCTCCGCTGCGCTCCGCCGGGCCGGGGGCGAGCCCGGGGGCCGGTGGGCTGGTTTTTAATGGTTTTTATGTTGGTTTGTTCTTGTGTTTTTTCTGTCTTTATTTACGTGTGGGCAGAAGGCTCCGCCGCAGCGCGGGGATCTCCCGGGGGCTGTCAGCGGGGCGGCGCGGAAGAGAGGGGCCCCGGTCCAGGGGTCCCGGTGCCCCGGTCCAGGACGGGCTCTGCAGGCTGCTGGGCGCTGGGGTTATTTAAAAGAGCGAGAGGGGAGCAAGGGCAAAGTGATGCAATCCTTTAAGCATGGCTGGGAATGCTGTGTACATGATGCAATCTCGTGTAACTGTCAGTCATGAATTGAGTAATCTGTTAAAGATGTTCCTACAGGTTTTTTTTTTTATTATAAAGAATAATCTATTTCTATAAGAAAATACATATGTATATTTTGGGATCTATGCATTCTTGCTACATTTGAAGCATTAATGAACAATTTTAATAAACTTTATGACTAGGTTAAAGAAAGTAGCTTGTTTTATTTTGAAGGCACGTTTAAAATGAGATTAAGCGCAGGGCTGAAATTCTAGCTGAATTTGGCTCAATGCTGGGATCTGGGATCAGGATTTTTGTTGCTCTTTTGGCTTTCTCTGTGACTCAGAGAAAGGAAAAAATAAACCCAACCAAAACCAAAAAGCAAAACCCCCAGAGAAACCCAGCAAAGAGCAGAGCTGAAGCTTTAGCCAGTTCTTGTTGCCTCATTTTATGTCCTCTAATCACTTGCTTGAGCTGCCGCTTGGGTGTTGTTTGGGGAGGAGGTGTTTGTGTCGAGTTTTTTGCACTTCTTGCTGTTCTGAACGTGTAGAGCAAGATGTGCTATCCAAACCATGACCAATCTTTGGCAAAGTAACACCAAGCCTGAAGTGGGAGGGAGGAAGAAAAAGTCAGGGAGGAAGCTTGAAATGAGGGTTTGTTTATGTTGTGTTTTTTCTTCACCGAGTTTCTATTCTCTATGATTCAGCTTTTCTTATGTTTGTAGTTCACAGGAATAAACATGAGAAAGTAGCATTTCTGTTGGATGTCGGTAATTTCGGGCATTGCTCAGGAAGCTCTCATGAAACCCGGCCAGGTGAGAGGCTTATGAACAACTCCCTCATCTTTCCTCTTGAGATGTCTTTCTAAACCCTGCAGAGAGAGTTTCTCTGACGAGAGCTGTTTGTTTCTGTGTGCATGTGTGTTTGCTGGGGGCAAGTGACAGATAAGGGTGGGGTGGCAGAGAAGGAGGTTTGTCGGAGGCCATCGCTTTGGTTTAGGGAGAACTAAGGAACACGCCAGACTTGCCAGGGCTCCCAGGCTGTGTTATTTCCCCTGTAAGAAGTTAACAGTCTCAAGCTGGTTACATGGAGGGAGCTGAGCAAATGATCGGGTCTTACTCAGCATTTTCCATTTTCCTGTTAGGCCAAATTTAAGCATTAAGTTTTTAGATCCAGATTCCCTGTGCTCCAGAAAAGAAACTGCTTCGTGGCCTGTGCCCTGTTTGACAGCTGAACACAGAAGGATTTTTTAGTATAAAGGCTGTGGACTTGAATTCGCCCCTGTGCATTCCAATCCAAACAGCAGTGGTTTGCAGAGGAACAAATCATCAATTTGTTGCTTATTTTTAGTGTTTCTTTAAGCAAAGCAGGTTTTCTGCTGAAAAAACTGTTCTGCTTTTTTGACACTTAAGATCCTGGCTTCCTGCGGGGAAATGCTTCAGAGAGCTCTCACTGAAATTTGTTACGCATTCCCTGCCTCCCCCAGTGCCTCTGCAGCTCCTGCAAGGAGCCGTGCAGTAGTGAGCACTAAGAGCCGTGCAGTAGTGAGCACTAAGAGCCGTGCAGTAGTGAGCAGTGAGTGTTACTCCTCACGCAGATTTCCTCTGTTTGCTTTTTAACTTGTACGGTGCAGTTCAGTTGTTTTTATGAGACCCTAAGAATAGATTTTCTTGGGTGAGCTAGCTCCTGTACCAGCATGACTCAAGTTCTTGCAGGCAAGATAGACGTTAGATCTTGTCTTGACTGTCCCTCGTGACGATGATTACTCCAGCCTCCTGTGGCTGTTTATTCTACTATTCTTCTAGTTACGAAACTTATCCACATCGTTAGATTCTATTTTCTTGTTGTGCTGTAGGCCATGTAATGTTACCCAAACTTACAAGCAGCGCTCCCAGTCAGTCGAGTGCTGCTGAGGGTGGAATTGCAGGACTGAAGCTGACCTCAGGCATATTTCTTTCTTTCTGTCTAAATGACAAAGTTTCCAACAAAAGTTCAGTTCATGGGGGCTGGAAGGCAGGGGAGATTGAGAGATAAGATGTACTGAAGGTATTTATATTTGTTTAAATAATACTCCAGTTTTGGAGATAGAGCTCTACCAGGCATGAATGAGCTAATCCTCATCCTTAAACTTTGCCTGCCACAGTTCAGGGGAGACAGGGTGGTGTTGCTGCAATGTAAAGAATGATGTTTGAATTTCTGCTCTATTCCAATGTATCTTTTAAGTAGGATTATAGATTCCTTAGTCAGGAGAAACTTCTGCAGCAGTGAGCTTTTGTCCAAAAGATGCCGTTGCAGGCAGGAAAGTTAAGGACAGAAATGCACCAATTTTACACTGGTGTCGGAATCTGTGAAAGTCAGAAAGAAAATTCCCAAATCCTTCATTCTTAGTCTTGTACTACCCACATCACTTATATTTTAGGAGCTGTGTAGCACTATTAAATGCATGGAGGTCATGAAATACCCTGCTTTATAAACAAGCATATGGAAAAGCCTTTGTAACTTAAATGTTTCCTAGATAAGAAATAGTCTGGAAAAAAGCAGTTTGGAAATGAATCTGAGAAAACTACAAGCACTAAAGCAGACACAAGATTCCAAATACCTTTTCTAATCGCAGCAGGGGAATTGGAAAATCCCTGTCCAAGCAGTGGTTCAGCTCCAAATATTGATATAGTTTCCCATTACAAATAAGATTCTGTTGACTGAAAGCAGTACTTGGTATGTCTCAGTTGTCTTCTGACAGGGTCTCTTGAGCTTCTTTTCCTAAAGCAACTCCGTACAGCTTGTGGTAGGACTCTGCAGTCTATCTGGAATTTTATGGAACTTTATAAACAGCATTTTGTTTGGGCTTTTATTTTTTAACCTTCAAATTATTTATTACACTGACTGATTCATATAGGGCTTTCTCCTCACTTCTAAAATAACAGTGTGTCTTCCTATGTAGAACGAAGTCTGTAAGGTCAAATCCCTGGCACGGACATGCCCTTTTCAAAGCACCTAGCTCTGTTTTGCTAGGTGTTTGAATTCAGTTGTGCTTAGTTCTGCAAAAGGAATCATATGTATAATTTTAAAGCAAAATATTTAAAAATACAATTATAATTTTGTTAGCAGTTCTTCTATCAATGAATACAACTTATTACTCTCTATTTATCTGCCCAAAGCATGTATAACCCTGTGCAGCTGTGACGCTTTGCTGTTTCTTTCACACTTTTCCCACTGCCTTCCATCAGGGACTCTTGGAAGATGCAGGGGTATTGGCACTTCTTGCTATATGAATCATTTCTCCTCTGTCACATAAAATCACTCAAATTGCACACATGCACCAAAGGGTTACTGGGAGGGAGGCTTGATCACATTTGGTAACAGTATGGGTTTATTCTGCAATAGCCTTCCGATACTGAAATTACAGCCTGAAAAAAGCTTTGTGCACAATGTTTACCATTTCCTTGCTAGAACAATTGTCATTGATGTGGATGTGTATGAAATTATGAAATTACTCTCATACTAGCTAGTTTTCCAGCAATGTTTCATTAGCTGTGACCAGAATAAAAGTCAATGCAAGTCAATATCTGCTTTAATAAAGAGAAAAACATGTATATGAGGCCAAATTACACATCTGCTTTTGTTATTTATAGTGATATCGCTTAAGATGCAATTAAGCATTGTCTTGTATTTTCCTGTCATTCATACCAACACAAAGTGAGTCTAAAGCAGCACCAAACTGGAATGCCAGGGTTCTGCGTTCAGTTTGTACTGGACAAAGATGACTTTATGGTGGATGGGAGGTAATGACAAATGTGGTTGTAACTTTTTGCTACTGATTGCTAATTCCAAAGAAAGTCTTTATTACTCTCCTGAGTGTTAGCCTCTTTTATGTTTAAGTCTGCACAACTGTTTAACAGTCAGAATTTTAGGGCAAACCTCATATATGATTGTGAAGTGTGAAGAAAAATGTAAACCTATGCATATACGTTGAAAGGTTCCTACTACATTAATCAGGAAATCCAAGCAAAACTAGGAATATCATTGACTTCTCCCAAAGAAACAATTCTGTTCACATTCCGAACACTTTTTTAAATCAATCAATAAAGTAAAACTAAACCTGTGTGGCCAAAACTGTACATGGAATATGTGAGGGAATTGGTTCTCCTTTGAGAGATACTCACTGAACAGAGAAGTGAAATCATTAAACAAATGAAGTTCCATTCAACTCTTTGCTGGGACCCAAACACCAAAACATGGTCTGAGAGTTTGATCTTGGCAATACTAAGCTAAACTTTGGTAGAAACTCTACGCTTGGATAATAACCTGAGGTTTTCTGAGGTTCCCGATGCTTTCATATCTACCGAGGCTGTTTTGCCCCACTCTGAGCAGATGAGCAGCACAATCTATGGTGAGTATGTAAACACCTCAAAAGATTAGATACAGCCTCGGACTAACATCAGGATCATGTGAAATTTATGGTGCGGTGTTAGCCTGATGCAAAACTACCTGAAACTCCCAGAGTTTCTCCTTGAAATGATCCTGGGAACAGCCACGTGGTGCCTGGATCATCACCCCTGGGGCTGGAGTCCTTGGGAGTTCCTAACTTCGGGGTAGCTGTAATTCTCATATGCTCAGTTTGATCTATTGGAAATTCAATTGGAAAAGAAAATGCTTTCTGTGATTACTTCCTCACCTGCTGAATTGTTCCAATGCTTTAAATTAGGGACTGTAGTGATAGGACAAGGGGTAACAGGTTCAAACTTCAATGGGGGAAGTTTAGATTGGATATAAGGAGGAAGTTCTTTACTGTAAGGGTGGTGAGGCACTGGAATGGGTTGCCCAGGGAAGCTGTGAATGCTCCGTCCCTGGCGGTGTTCAAGGCCAGGATGGACAGAGCCTTGGGTGACATGGTTTAGCGTGAGGTGTCCCTGTCCATGGCAGGGGGGTTGGAACTGGATGATCTTAAGGTCCTTTCCAACCCTAACTATTCTATGATTCTATGATTTTAAATAAAAGGCTTTCTTCCTCTCCTGGAAATGGTGGTGGTTAAATCTGCCTGGATGTGCAAAACAATAGGGCTGGGATTCAAAATGAGGCTAAAAGGGTTAATAGTTGCTGAAGCGAACTGGGTTGCATTTACAATAGGGACGCATTTAGTTCCGAACCTTCCAATTGGACTGGTTGCCACAGTTTCACAGAGCAGTGCCAAATTTAACCCTCATTTGTTTTAGACTTTTCACAAATTTATATATTTACTATTAAAGCTATTCATATACTAAATAATAATGAATTCCAATAATATTTGCTAGTTAATTAAAAGCTAAGGAAGACTTTGATCTCCATCCAGTTTTCACCTTGCCCCATCCTATTTGCTCTTGCCTCTGGGATTCCCATATCACACATTATATAGCTATCAAAGCACTCTCAGAGTTCAGGCTATTTAAATCAGAGGGTTAAGTTAGGTCTCATAATTTTATACTATATCTGCAGAATAAATCCTCTAAGAAGTGCTGGCTTGCTCAGCAGACCTGCTTGAATGCAGACACCTCTGTATTCATGGCAGTCAAAGAACTGTGTTTTTGATAGAGGCGATGGGATGCTGTGCTCCCTATCCCCACACAAACAAACGCAACAGCTTGTTTTCTATAAATACCTTGGGTTTGCTCGTATATTGCAACAGCAGTTCATTAAGCCTGTGGTAAGTAGCTCATTGATGTTGTCTAGAAATTACAGGAATAGGAATCTCAGCCTCTGTCAAACAATGGAAAAATGCCTCTAACGCTTTGTCTGGTGCATTCCCCTCCTCCCTCAGCTCACCTGGGAGCCGCATCCACACAAGTTTCACGGATAGATTTTCTCCAAGCGAGCGGAGGAGCTTTGGGTTTAGAAATGAATGTCATGGTGACACGATGGGAAAATATTTCTGTGCAACATGATGAAACAATTACTTGGCTGAAGTAATTCAGGAAGGGAATCACAAGAACAAGAGAAAGTGCCTGGAGCCGGTTTGAGAAGCAGAAGAAGAGCGGTGGTGGCTCCCTAGCAGACACATTGTTTTGCTGATTTCCCCAGCCTTTGCCATCGAGACAATAACTCGGGGGTGGATGTCTCTGACAGTGATTTGCTGCACTTCTCTGAGCCCAGGTGTCTTACTTGAAACAGTAAACCACAGATTCTATCATTTTCTGAAACACAAAAGGCCAGAAAACGAACCTGGAGTTGTAATTTATTAAGATACATAAGCATGTGCAACATCGAAATGTACAAGGCGCAGAGTAAAATCTGTGAGATAAACTTGGCACAACAAGATAGCAGAATTACAGAAAAAGGAGTTATTATCAAGGAGTTGGGTTGCTTGAAGGAATGAAAGCTGGACCAAAGCCACTTACTTAATGTCTAACCTCAGCACACAGAGCTTTCTGCCAGCTCTGTGAAGACAGACAACTTCCGAGCAGGCCTGCTTTCTTGCTGTTGAGTTATTGATGGTCACTCACGGTGGCAGAAGATACTTTTGTGCTTAGAATTAAGAAGAGTGGGTTGAGGCCCCAAATCTGAAGGAGAAGAAGAGAAAGCAGAAGTCCTTTATGTGTGACTTGAGCTACTGCGTGCACAGGGTGGGTCCTTAACTGTTTTCAAGGCAAATTACTCAGCTGAAGAGTCAATGAGTGCTGAACACTGACAGAAATTAAGGGGCAAGGAATAAATATGGAGCTCTGAAACAAAAGATACAGTTTCTGGTCCTGACTTTTTCACCAGTTTATCATGTTAGATTATCAGTTAGCCCCTAAATGTTATAGAGGCTGCATGCACACCTGCACATCTCTAGTTACAAGTGCAGTTACCATAGCTGCAGGTATATTTGCCTGTTATATATTTAGATCCTGATCTTACATATGTGCTTCACTTTATACACGTAGCTGTAGTGATTTCAGTGGAACTATTATTACTTGCATGAGTAATGACAAATGCATAGATCTGTATTTACATGGATGGATTTACATGGATCTGTATATACATGGATCTGAGATCACACTGTCTCTGGGAAAATTTTTCCTTACTCGATTAAATAGCACATGCCCCAGCAAATTCTGAGCACTAATGTTCTGGGGGCTTTCAAATTCGAGAGAGCCACTCATGCACAGGGCATGATTTGTCTGTCTCTTCTGTACAAAAGGAGATGACAGTGGCTTCAGCATTTTTGTACTTCCCAGAAGAAAAACTGACCCCAACAATAAAACATCTGACAGCTGGGGTGCAGACTGTGTTCTAACAGCTATTGCTGGATTCCAATTCCACAAAGTACTTGAGTGCATCACAGAGTCATAGACTGGTTTAGATTGGAAGGGACCTTAAAGCTCCTCCAGATCCAACCCCTGCCACAGGCAGGGACACCTTCCTCTAGAGCAGGTTACTCCAAGCCCCCTCCAACCTGGCCTTGAACACTGCCAGGGATGGGGCAGCCACAGCTTCTCTGGTCAACCTGTGCCAGCACCTCAGCACCCTCACAGGGAAGAGCTTCTGCCTAATATCTAATCTAAATCTCCCCTCTGTCAGTATGTTTCATATATCCTCTTTCAGGGTATGTTCTACCAGAGCAGAAGCAAAACAATGCTCAATACGAACTGTAAGGTTTTGGATGTGCCAAATGCTCTCCTGAAACACATCCTTCTAGAGCTTCAGGTATGGCTGATTGGCCTCTGGATTATACTGCTGTGATACAGCTGTAGCATGGGCAGAAGCCCTGGGAAGGAAACCATGATAGAAAAGGCAGGTGTCCAGAAAGATGATGAATGAGATGGACTCAACCAGGCCCAAAGGAATCCTGATTTCTTCCTACTGTGCTGAAGGAGCCCATCCAGCTTGCATGTTGGCCAGGTCTGGCAAGCCAACATTTCAGAACACGGTGTTAGTACCTGGCTGTTGATCAAAGGATTCTTAAGCAACAACCCATTCCACATCAGCAAGATGCCAAGAACCATGGACTTCTATGGGCTGGAAGACAACTGATAAAGCAGGTGCTGAGAAAAGCAATGATGCCTACATTGGGCAATCTAAGAGCTACTAATGGCTACTGGAAAATGTTATTTTTACTTTAGTTCTGCAATTGCTTAAGCCTGGCTCGCTGGAGGCTCACAGGGACACAGCGTTTGCACGGGGCTTGCCTTTCTTCTTTCTGCACAGCATTTTATTTAGATGTCAGGGGAAAACCATGACTCCTTGGTAGTTCTTCCTCTGCCAATAACAAATACGGGTCAACTGCACCTTTCTCCAGAATTGTCTCCTGTGGATTTTGGCTTGTGAGGGACGGGACACTCAGAACAGGTGTGAATGATGCAACTGAACCTCTTGTGATACAGCCCCATGCGTGGTTGTAGGAGATTCAGTTCTTGAGCTGGGCTGACAGATTAGAAAGGGATTTGCATGAAGGACAAGAAGGCAGATCTCCATGTGCTGAAGAGGCCTGAAAAGAAGGAAGTGATACCAAACAGCACACAGTTCTGGGAAGGCTATTGCAGGCTGTGGCAGTGTTGGGAACCGTTTCCAACAGACAGACAATGAACTATTTTCCCACTGATTTCATGGTAACGTGAAGTGAAAATTCCACTCCTGTGTTTTTCTGCCAAGTCCTTAAAGGCAAAACTTTAGCAAATGGCTCCTGCTTTTGCACTGATTCACTAACAGGTGCTCTTCTGCACGAGTCCTGCAAGAGCTTTATTACCAGAGGTACACTGACTATTAAGCAGCCATAAGCTTAACCTGGTATTTACTGTAGGACTGTGCCTTTTTATTGCGCAGAGGGAGGGAACTCCCTTCTCAGCCCTCCAGGTGGTCCCTTCAGGGCAGGGTTGAGGCACATTGGTGAGAAGGGGTGGGGTTGGGTGGGAGAGGCTTTCATTGCTGCCCTACCTGTTCTGGGCATAAATTGAAATGATCAGCCTTTAAACCCTGCCAATTAGGCATGCGTTACTGGCATTAGAGTCAGTTTACTACGATTGGTAAAACTAAAATGTTCCTTTTAAAGTAAAAGAGAGGCAATATCCTGCTGTAACACAAGTAACTCCCGGAAAAGGGGTATCAGGGTGCAGCAGTGCAGTCTGTGGGGTGCCTGCCCTAGCCCAGGCAGGCAGGAGCAGGGCAGCATTCTGCAGTACAGAACAGCTCAGGGACAGCCTCCTCCTAACACGTTTGCATATCCCCTTCCAGCAGCGACTGTCTATCAGGGAGCAGGGCAGCAGGATGCAGGCTGCAGCCCCCTCCCCCCGCAGCATCCTCTCCTCTCCTATTCCTTCAAGGTAGCATTAGATATGGGAAAAATAAAAGTAGGGATAAAAATCAAAATAGTGATAACCCTTTCCTGGGCTCCATCTGCCAACAAAGCTCCACTTACTTGGGAGAGCAAAAGGAGATGCTATGAAGAAAGACTATGAAACTGCTAATCAAGGTAGTGCGTGTGCTCTCAAGTTAGTACTTTCCTAATCTGATCAACAGATCCATGTACTGAAGAGGCACTATGGACCTTTTGGTCCAACACTTCTTGGTTTCTGCAGGCTGAGGCAGATACCATTCTATTTGTCACACACTGGGGGTTATCCTGATTACTATAAAGGCCAGAAATGATGGGGTTGGCTTTCTTCCTCAAAGAAAAGTTATCTTTGCAGCACGTGTTTCTGCCTCTGAAAATAGGGGTATGCTGTGCTGCCATGAAAACCACAAGCTGGCTTCATCCTCATCTGTATTCACAGAAGGAGAAGGTGAGGACCGTCTCCCAACAGCCCTGTATTGCTTTCCTGTGAACCACTTTGTCTCTGCTGGTCAAACATAAGCATTTCTGATATCAGCATTTCAGGCCTTCAAAACAGGCTTTGCTCTGAGAAGGGCTTGTCACTGGCAGTTATGCAGGAGGGGTTTTTTAGGAAATGAAGGGGACAAATGGGAAAATCATTTATCCATGTAAAACTCATTTCATATTGCATAAAGCCCCGCTCTGAGGTGTGCTGCCTTTCATGTGCCTTTCACTCACCTCCTGCATCCACAGCTTGTCAAGATCCATGGGAGTTTATCATCTAATCACTCTTGTGCACAAATCCAGGGCAGAAAAGCCCACTTGTTATAAGCTTCTTTACAAATGCACTCCTAGGTTCTTCCCTCCTTCACCTACCACCATGTCTTGAGGAGAAGGGAGGTGAATGTGACCTCCAAACAAACACCTCTCTAAGCTAATTTGTGCTCTTCTCCAGCCTCTAAGATGAAACATTAGCTAGAGATCTCAGGAGGGCTTTGGCCACACTACACAGCTCAGTAAACTGGTGGGACCTGGCATGTGCAGGAGGGTGCTGCACTGGCTGTGTACTAAATATTAAGCCCAGATGGTCGCTTTTCAGCCTCTGCTGCAGACTCTGTCCCACATTAATTAGGTAGAAGGGATGACCTAGTGATTCTGGAGAAAGGAAAGCAAGGTCCTGTATCTGCCATTGCTGCAAACTTGTTGCAGGATCTCAGGCAAGTTACCTCACCTTTCTTTGCTTCGGTTCTTTACCTGCCAATAGATACTTCTGGATGTGTCTCAGGTACTATTTGTTTAAAGAAGTGTGAAATATGGGCTATGAGGCCTTAACAATACCACCTATTAATTATTTACAGTTTATACTAAGAGCTAAAAATAGAAATGAATTCAGCTGGGAAAGTCTTCTGGCAAAAATGACTGGAAGCACAACTGTCCCTCACTCCAAACGCTTTCCAGGCAGTAATGTGACCACATGGAGTTTGGCTCATTATGTATGTAAAATAGGCAGATGCTATTAGAAAGTAATTTTTTTTCACCCAGTGACTACAGAAGCCTGTCCCTCATGATGAAATCCTCTGCAGGGGCCATATTTTTACCATGCCTCATACTTCTCAAGGTATTTGAAATCACGCTCAAGGCTGGATACTGTCTTCCCTTTTCTCTCCTTGAATGAGCTCTGCTTTCACAGAACTGCACTGAGGCCTCAGCATTTCCCTTTTTGAATACACTTCCTTTTTACAGTATATAATTCCTGATGTTGGGGGGCATCACCACAATTTTAAGTATGTAGTAACACCCTGTTCAGAAACAACAGATCATGGTAATAAACCATCGACATAATTAGGAGACTTGTCAAACAACATGGGAAAGGACTGAATGGAGTTCATAAAAGCATTTTCAAGAGGCTGGTGGAAGTGTTTTAAGAAAAAAGAAATTAGCAGTGTTTTGTATTATTAAGTGTTTTGCATAGCAGAACATTAATTAGCACTGGAGAGAACACACTCTTCTGGAATGCCCATGCGTGCCCCATTATATCCCATTTTTCCCTCTGAGTCATCTCTCCGCAGCCACCAATTCCGTGCGAACAGGAGCAGTCACAGTGGGATCAAGTTGAGTGACTTACCTGTGTGAGTAAGCAGCCACAGAGGGAAATTTCCCCTTGAGCAGTGGCCATGGTACCACTGGCAAAACCTGGAGAAATAACTTTTCTGGGCAAAACAGAATCCCGTTTTTGGATATTGTTATTTTTACTTTCTGATTTTCACTTTAGGAATTCTATTATGCTAAAAATGTGTCTCCATTCAGCTATACACATCAGAAGTCTGTATGTACTCCAGAGTGATGATCTGAGACATCTGGCGCTTACACTTGGGGCCTTCCTGCATGGGACAAATAGCCCCCATGAAGAGAACGCACATTTCCAACATCTAAGTGAAACAAATAACAAAATAGCCCCTGGTGTGCTTAAGCCCTAAAACTGCACAAGCAAGTTAGCAAGGCCAAATCCAGCTCTCTCCAAGTCTAGGTGAAAGGTCACCCATGAATCAGGAAGCAAATTATTGAGTTACCAGCATTGCAGCAACAGAATAAACTCTCACCAGCTGCTTGACTGACAGTGGGATATCACCCCCAGCTACTGGCAACTGTCCTTTCATCATTAACCTTCATTAAGGTGGCCATCTCCAAACCAAACAAATGCACAGTTCAGTTGCTAATATAAAAGACATCAATTAGATTTATATAAGAGTGTTGCAAAATATTAAATAATAAAGGTTGCTACCAAACAACAGCAGAGGATTCATCACCCTTGCTCCTCAAACAGGCAAAGCCTGGGTATTCTGGGGAAATTACACCTTGACTGCTGGTAACGCTCTGCGCATCTGATGTGTGGGAGAAGGGGTACCGCTGGCATCCGTGGTCTGTCTAAATCTGACAGCAAGGCTAAGGTTGGCACTTAACTGCATGAATCACCAACTACTGAAATTTAAAAGCTTGCATATGCAAATCACTAATTAAAGACATTAGCATAGTCAGTTACCCAAACTGTAATCTTAATCGTATCTCCAAGTGAGGCACGCAATCACACACCCATTTTGCAGATTTGCATTTGTGAGCTTGGTTTCCCGAGAGCTAGGGCCAGAAACTAGTCTAATAACCAATTTTAGCTTGTGTGGTTCCAGGAAGGAAAAAGAAGAGTGAAAGTGTGCAGTGGCTTCCTCCCTGAAAAGTAATAGGGAATTGTACAAAATCAGGAACTGATGTGGACAGCGAATGATAACTGAGAGGCCTTGATGGTGAGCTACGCATCCTGTCCTTTAATCTAATGCCCATCTTGGTGACTCTTGACACAAACAACATGGATTTCCCTCTATTAGCAAATATTCAGAGACGGGAAAAGACTATGTGCCAGATTTTGACTTTACTTACATTGAATTACCTGAGATTAGAATCTGAAACTAGAAACTTTCTTTATACAGTTACAAATAGCTATATTATGCAGTTTTAAGGGGTTAAGAAAAGGAGGAAATCATAACCACAGAAGTCGTAAAGGCAACTTATCCCAAGCCAAATAGTTTTGTTTCTAATGCAGGGCTTTAATTATAACATGTCATATAATGATGACATAGTGCTATAATAGGCAAATATAATGCATTAATCTGATATTATACTCTGGCTTTAACAATAGGTGCAGCGAACCAGCCTTAGTGGGTAACTCATTCAGAACCTATCTGCACACTCCACCTAGATACTTATCTGCCTCTTTAATTAAGTGGAGGGAAACTTCTTGAGGCCATACCCATAAAGCCAGTCTCTGATGATAGCAGAGTTACTGGAAGCCTTTGGTAATCGTTTACACCCACGTATTGTGGTTAGCTTCCAACTTTGGCTCTTTCCTTCTTGCTCTGGAACCACCTATTTATCCCCTAGTGTAAATCCCCTAGTGTTTTTGTACCAAAAGGGGTACAAAAAACCTCCGGGGGTTGGTTTGAGCAACACGCCAACATACTGTCATTGGCCTCCTCAGGATGGAACCAGGCTTCTTAATTGCAGTGGTGAAAAAAAGAGTTTGGCAAATTTTTCACTTACCATCTACTTCTTGAAACAGTAGCAACAGACTGCATCAGTGAACACAGGATGGCCAGTGACACCTTTCACCATGCACATTCCCAAGGTTGTCCTCAGTGTGTGCTCATGGCAATCAGAGACACTACAGCAACCAACTTCAGAAGAAGCAGGACTGGGCCTGTGGGATAAAATCATCTTTCCTGATTCCATGGGTCCTGTCTAACTTTGTTTACATTGAAAAAACACCCTTTTCGGCTTCTTCAAACACAGTTGTAGGATTTGCACACTAAGCTAAAACCAAGAGTTTAACTGATACATTAGTTTGGAAAAGGTGGTTCCCCGAGTTGCAGTGCTTGCTCTCTACTAGGATTTTTTGAGACAAATATCCTGCTCTGAAGCAGTCATATACAGAAGTCATAAAGATCAAGCATGTAAACAGCATCTGAAGAAAGCACAGGGACAGCGATCTTGAGGCCATGTGAGATAACTTGCTCAGGTGACAGAAGTGTACCACAAGTAGTATAGTCCCTGTAGCAGAATAAAGGCAGGCAACATGGGGTTCCTATCCTTCAGTACTAGCTAAGCAAGCCACACAGGATGAGCACAACCAAAATGGCTCTGACAGCTTACCGCCTCCTTTGCCTTTTTCTCTCCTTCTGTGGCTCACTTCCGTACTCTCCTCCGATCTTTTCCAGTATGAAAGGCTCTGCTAACGACCTTTGAACAGATCATGTTGAGAATGTCACTGCAGACCTTCTTAATCTTATGGTGGCGCCTAGATAATATGGTGATGGGTACTGAAATGCTGAAAAACAGACAGACAGATAGCTAGATAAGATTAGATATATAAGCAATTTAGTCATCATACAGAGCAGCTGACATAAGTTCATTTGTAAAGCCAACTGCTAAAATTGCTTTAGAAGTCCTTACATTTTAATTCTGTTGAAAGACAGACCTTTGATCTGAATTGTTTTGGTGGCATGTGCATTATTTGAATGGAACCTCACCTGACCAGGTAATACCAGACCGGTCATTCCTGGCATACTATTGCCATAGGAGAACAGTGTACATGCAAATCCATACCTACCGATAGCTCAAGGGCAGACAGATAACAGCATCATGGAACAGATACAGACTGAAAGACGAGCATCACTTTATTCTGATATGCAGAATGAATCACAGCTAATAAAAAGCTCAAACAATCATATATATAACTAAAAGTAACCCCAAAACACTTTTAAGTTAAGCACGATCATAAAATAAGAGGAGAAAAAATTACAGCTAAGTGTTATTGCTTCTCTTTTTCATTAATATTTATTAATTTACACTGAGGGATATGGAGGAGGAAGAGAAATAAAACAGACCTGTCAGATTTGCCATTGTTTATAAACAATTTTATATTCCAGGTATTAGCAAAACACTGGGATGTTTGTTCTGCATTCACTGCAGGGAAAATGATTTACATTCACATGTGATGTTCTCTTAATTTGGCATTAAAAACAATAAATTCAAAGGCACTTCCTAGGGCAGTTTATTTTTGAAGTGGGTTGTTTGTTTTCACTCTAAATCTGAGGCCATGGTAATATTCCCAACTATGGAAGAGGGAAGAGAGTTAATATGAAAGTGTAGAGTTAGTGCTTGGTTTTATCTGAGTGGCATTCACCCCAGCACAGCCACTTTGCACCACTGAAGCAAAACCTGTGCATCAGTGCATGGCTGAACCACAGATAAATGGTTGCATGTCTTAATGAGTGATGGCTGACACTCAGAAGATTCTGTGGTTGAATTAGAATAAGCATTCAAAAAGTTCAAATGTTAATCTAAGCCTCTTTGGTTTATAATGGTAGAAGTCTGTCTCTAGAGCTGGCTTACTCACTCTGTTTTTAATATAACCTGACTGAAGCTGGGCTTGAACCGCTGCACAAACAGCCACTGTCATGAAAAGCAGCTCCCTCCTTCGTACCCACTCAAAATCAGTAATTGCAGGTGTGCAGAGGGATCAACTGATTGAACAGCAGTCTCCAGACAGTGCTTGCCACAGTCTTGTGTCCTGTGATACTTTACCTTTGCTTGTACTCAGCTCTAAGGCTTGAAGTCTAGATTAATCTTACTGTACTGTTAGAATCCCTGTTTCCTTGACATTTGGGAAGCTTAACCTCTTATTGAAGGTACCTGCATCTCACTGGTGACTACAGTGAAGGAGTCCTAATTTGAGCATCTCATTTATTTGCCTGTACTTTGGAAGGATCAGGGTCCAGCTGTCTTGTGAAATGCCCAATGTTATGGTATCTCCCTGAGCAGCAACCTGTCCCCCATAGTAGTATGTTATGGGCTCCTTCCAGTCAGTTTTCCTGCATGTTGGTGTATGTCCTGGTTTTGTCTGGGACAGAGTTAATTTTCTTGCTAGAAATTATTAGAAGGGATGGTAAGACAGGAGACTTGATTCTCCAGATTATATACAATATACCTAAAGCCTGATTCCCCACTGTCTCATGACTGTGCAATCAAACCCATGGACTTACAGCAAGTCCACAGGGTGTGTAAGATGCTTTCTAGCACATCTGGAAGTGCCAGGCTCTCAGTCTGCATAACTAAAAGTAATGGAGGATGAGGACAGTAGTTACAACTATTGTACTTTGATGCCTAATGTCTGCATGAGAGAATATTTGGCTTGTTATGCATGAATTCAACATCTGCAAAGTTGTCTGTCTTGGACATAAATGGAATAAGTGTGTATTTCCCTTGCACCCCTCATGCCAAACGTGCAAATCAAGCACAAAAGTATGTCATCAGCTGAGACAACCATTTAAAATGGGTATGGAAATGTATTATGTAGCAAAGTGCTAAAGAACATAGTTTTAATGCCTAGAAAACAAAACTGGGCAGAAACTTGTTCAGTGGTGGTAGTTATACTGGAACCAGTAAAAAGGATTAAAACCATTAGTCCCATTAAACAGCCCAATTCAGGCAAAGGGATGGTAATGTACTTCCGTGAACCTGTTTGCAGTGATAACAGCAGTTCTTCCTACGGCATCGTGCGCTCGCAAAGCTTTGAATGAGTAACTGTAGCTAATGAATAACAGCACTTTTAAATAAAATCTTATTGCCAAACAAAAGAATAATAAAGAAAGTTAATACTTTTTAAAAATTTATTTTAGTTGAAGCTTAGAAAAGTTTAGGTTGGAGTTTTGGTTGAAGGTTTGGTTGCTGCCTTTTCCCCTTTTATCTGAACCAGCTCACTCAGACATAATCTTCATCATCTAAACCACATGATTAACACACAAAACAACTTCGGAGCAAGCCAGGTCCAAGCAGGAAGCTGCAAGTACTATCATGTTTTCATGATATTAGCCAGCAAAATAACTGTGGTTTCTTCATTTCTTTTTTTATTTTTTTTGCTTCTTTTTTAATTCTCCGCATTTATGTTTTCCTTGAAAGGGGCCTGTGGTTTTGTTTCTTCTTTGTGTTGGAAACCTTCAGATTTACAATCTCATTCCCAGAGGGAATGCTTATTCTCCTAGACAATCCCCACAAGACTGGGGCAGGCCTGGACCCTTCTGCAAAATGGCTAAGGATGACTCCTGCTCTGCTCAGGTTTGTCAGTCAAACCAAACCATCCAGCCAGAGAGCACCTCTCCCATCTGGTCCAGTTTAAAAGCAGGCAGCTATGACTGTATCATGTGAGGAGGCTGGTCCTGCTGGTGTGTATTAGGCTTGTTCAAAATATTCCATCTGAATTGGCTGTCCTGAGAAAAGAGATGCTTCTTTACTTCTTCCGGGATCTCAGTGGGTTTTAGGTGGGAATTCTGCACCAAGCTGCTCAGGTCACAGCAGTTCTGGGCATGTCTAGACATAAAGTTGCTGGTAGTGGAAGAAATGTTATCCTGAGCAGGGAGGAACCTACTGTGTTGTAGGTGCTTAAGTCCTCTTTTGCATCTGGCCCTAACTTGCAAGAGGGGAAGAGCCAAGTGCTCAAAGGCAGCTTGTATTTTATGGCTATAAATCATGCAAAAAAATATGGACTCAATAATTTTGTACCTGCATTTGTATTGGAGGTGAGGGAAAGCCTTGACCAGGCAGGGAGAGACTCTGATTCTCTGCCTTTTCTCTGCTCTGTGGATTCAGAAAGGAAGCGAGGTGTCATGCCAGCAGAAATTATAGCTCCCATGTGTGTCATGCACTCCTATGCAAAGCTCCGTGGTTGGTATACTGGGTTCTTGTTGGGCAATGGCATGGAGAAGGCTGGTTTCCTTGGAACATTTTCTGTTCATTGTACTGTTCCTTCCCAGCATTTCACAAGCCACCACAAAGAAGACGACAAAAAGGGGGGAAAAAAACCTTCTTAAAATGAATTATGCGTGTCTTCCCTCGCTGCCCCAACAACCTTGGCAAGCTCAATGGAGCCACGCAGAACTGGTCTTTGCTGGATGTTACTCTTTGCACAATTTTATAATTATGGGGAGTCCACATGATGGAATGGTGAAAGCACAAGGAGGGAACTCAGGACTCTTCACCTTCATTCCTGGTTCTGCCACCAAGTTGCTCTGCGCGTCGACACTGCATATATAAACTCTTATGGTTGTCCCTTTGGCATGAACCTTGTTTTATGTATTTGCTGCTTCTGTCATTTCTAGGGCTACCTGTGCTCCAATCAAAACAGTAGCAAAATGTCCCAACTAATCTGTAAATCAAAGTATAAACCTAAGAACTATAACCTCTCTGCTCTGATTCAAAGCCTATTAAAAGACAACACGAAGACATCTGTTTGCTCCAATGTACTTTAGGTTACAATGCAGGTTCTTATCAGGTGGAAAAGAGAAGGAAGGCCACTAGAGCTCAAGGAAGCAGTGGGAGAACTACAATATATATTAATAGGAAGTAAAAACACCCTCAAGGAATGCTGAAAGCGAGACTTCTGCCAAGGCTTGGCTAGTTTAGGGACCCATCTTTTGCATCTTCTTGGCTCAACCTAGGAAGAAAACAGCTTCCTGTCTTAACTTCTTAACGTGAGCTCCGTATTAGTAATTTGCAGTACTTTTCATACCTGAAAGAACAACTCAGTTCTACTTTCATGGCAAAATTCCCAATGATTTCATTGTGAGCACAGCACAGCTCACATCCTCTTATTCTCTGCTGTTGGGTCTTTTTCACATCCTTCCACGCTGTGAGGCTTCACTGGTCTTCTCCGACTCATGCTCATTCTTGGTCTCTTTCTTTGACACAGGTTAAGAGTTGCTAACTCCATCTAAAGATTGTATTGGTCTCTGTAGCAACCAAAATGTAAAAAGAAGCAATTGATTCAAACACTTCTGATTCCACTCAAGACATCTCCTGCTTATAGTGACAACGTGTTTTCTTCTTGCTTGTCAGCATAAGCCTCACAGTCAACTTCAGCTGTTCTCAGATGGGGCTTATGGAGGAGAACAGGCATCTGGACAGTCCTCACTACCACACTTGCAGAAGTAGTCTGTAAATGTAACGTGATCATCCCAAAGCACAAACATAAAAATGAATAAAAGAGTGAACCAAAAACCTATTAGTGTTCTTGAAAATGAAATCTCATGATCTCACTACGTAGCACTGCTATTTCAGTACTGTGGATTTAAAAACAGTACTAAATTTGTGGTACTTCTTTAAGTATCTACTTCCCTGGGGTTGGTACCTACAACTGCCCTCTTTGCCTTTCAAAATCCTCTTTTAAATTAACAAAGCGGTTTCAAACAAGCGGAAGGCTATATATAGACGCTGGAAAGTTTATGCAAGATTTTCCCAAAGTTATTTTAAAGTCTTTACCAAAATAAAAACTGCAAAGATGCGTAACCAGGATCCACTTATAACCATGTCATCTCTAACCCATCTGCTGTCATGGCACAAAATGAAGGAGTTTGAGGAATATGGACATGGATTATATAAGGAGATGCTTTCGGTTGTGATCAGAGATGGCTTTTTCCTTCTAAAAATACACTAAATTTGATTCACTAGCAGCAGTGACAAAAAAAAGATGTTTTGGTTCATAAGGAAACACTTTGATTCAAATATTTAATTTTGCTTTAAGGGTTTCTAAAAATATAATAAAGTGCTAAACTAAAATGGAAACTCTGAATCCCAAAGCTAAAACATTTCACTTAGAAAATGCTAAACTTGTATAATTTGATCTGTTTGGCATTTCAGGGTGATATAACTGAAATAGTCAGTCAAAACTGGTTCAGTTCACAAAGCATCTCCCTAGATTTGAACATTTTGGTTAAGATTATCTGATAATAAATACAGGGAGGATGTTATAATGAAGAAATAATGTGCTGTCAGAATCAGGATTTCAGTGTTGCCAAATACAGGTCTGTAATGGCATTTTACTGCATTACTTTATCAATGATATTTACAGAACTCTCAGCTGAAAGGTGGAGTGGGTACAGTAAGGAGTAGGTCATGGCTGACTTTTAGTATATTATTAGCTATGGCCAAGCTGAACAAATCTGTAAACTCCACTTGAAGGGAAAATACTATGCACATTTGTGATGCCACAGAAATAAAGTATCATAATTAAACCCGTGGTTCTTCTCCCTCAAGATTTTCTTCAGGCCTGTCCTCAAAATGAATCCTAGGCAGGTAATTTCTTGTTTACCCACATGACATTTAAGCAGCATATTTAGCACACTTGCAGTTCATACTTTAAATTCAAACATAACATCAATCCAACAATTCTTGGCAAATATCAGGCAGCAGTGGAGTGTCAAGAATTCAAGGAAACTCCGATCTAATTTAAATGGTGCTGCTCTCAAAAGCTGGCAACAAGGAGTGCATCTTCTTAAAATGTTTCTATTAGAAGCTGATGTTTATGATCGCTCTCAGCTTGGCAAGAAAAACAGTCTTCTAAACATTTACATTTCACATTCTTCAGGACAGTTGAAAAATGTTGGCTTGCAGCTCCCCACACTGCAGAGAGGTTGTGAGGAATGTTACAGTAGAACGTTAAGAGCCATGTACTTTTCTTGTCCTTTGATTTACTGTGTGGCAGGTTTTATACCAGTTGTGTTCCTAATGTTGTCTGTCCTGATTCGAGTATCACTCAAACAACATGGGCCTGGGTTTATTTTTCTAGCTAATAAAACCAAAGTAAACTCATTTATTAATAATACTTTGTAATAATGTTACAGTCACTATTTGGAGACTTTCCCATTTGAATATATTCACTATGATCTGTTGCAAAACTCCCCAGCCGAGTCAGAAAATGAGCATTTTTAAGAGAAGAGGCCTGTGAAGAGGGGCTGTTAGTGTCCGTTTGTCCAAACACTATGGCCATGTACTGGTTGCCTACAACTCCGATCACAATGTACAGACATCAGCACAAAAATGAGAATATAATGTAGAACCCGGTCAGTCCCTCTGGCTCCGTGTAACTACTGTCATGAGTAACTGCCATGCTTGAGTAAGACTTGTGTGTTCTGGCTGCTGTGTCCCACACACTGTGGCCCCAGTGCACAGTCCTGGTGAGCTCTCACACATGGCACCATTAAAGCTAGCTGGACTGGCTGCTTGTACTTGCCTACTTGCTCCCTTGCACATGGATTTCCCAATCTGACCAAACCTAATAGCATTAGAAATAAACACACAATATAGCATTGGCTTATTCTTCACCAACAGCACTGCTTTCAAAGCACAGTTAGATTGTAGATTAGAGGTGCATAAATGTCTTCAGTGTGTTCCCCACTCCACAAATCACTGGAGGATATGTATGAATCTTACTGACATAGTTAAATGAACTGCTGAATTAGGACAGATCCATGGGATATGATGAAGTCCTAAACACTGCCAACTCCCAGGAAGGTCACTGAGAGTTGATGGTACCTAGGACTGAATAAATACAAGAACATGAATAATCTTCTGTATGCAAATCAACCTACTGCAGTGTTGCAATCGGTAGGAGTCCCCAGACTGGACTGCCTGTGTGGGTAAGCTCACTCATGGCCTGAGGATCTGCAGAATCAGGCTTGGTGGTATACGCTGGCTGCCTGTGCACTATCATTTTAATTCAGCTTGCTGAGGTGTGTGCAATCTCTGTTAAGGGACACGTAAGCCACAGTCACAGTGGCATCGAGTCAGCTGCTTCAGGTCTGGGCCATTTTGCTGTCATCTGAAGATGTGAGGCTTGATGGAAGTGGCTTGTTCTAAGGCACTTGGATAACGACTGAAATTTGCTGTATGCCTTGCTGCTAGCAGTAGTAGTGCAGAACTCAAAGCAAGGGAATTTTACAAACTGTGAATACAAATTGTAGGTGTGAAGTTTTAATTGGGCATAATTAGGCAACGATATAAACAAACTGTACACACGTAATGACCTCCATCAGAGGTGCTCACATAACTTAGAAAGAGTATTAAAGTCTCATCAAAACATGATGCTGTGACAGTATTGCAGAGACCCCCTGAAGCAGCTGTAAACTACCTTATCTGGGCCATGGCAAAAAGCCTGGGCCTTACTGCTGCCGGCATGGTAAGATCAGGGGTGCATTCCCTTTTGGCAGCTCCCAGTTAGCCGCAGGATTGTGTTGTTCAGGGAGGTGCTTTTATTCGGTAGGATAAAAGCTGGGTCTTGCTGGCTTACATCAAACTTGTTTGGGAATATTTGCAAACTCATGAAACAAAAGACAATGCCTCTTGACACAACATTTTTAGCGAAATTCTGTACAAGAACTCTCTAATTCCAGAATAAAAATGACCACACAAAGAGTGACTCAAAACTAACTCCCTGCCAGCCTTTAGAAACTGAAAGTCCCATTTTAAAGTGGAAGGCACTTACAAAAGCCCCATGTTTTTATTTAGCTTGTTATTTCCAGTGTGTACATCCCCTAGAGCAGGCACCCAAAATCAAATGCAGTCAGGGGAATCTCAAGGTACCCAGTGACAGTTGCCTCATTTCAAGATAAGCACCCGAAATCAAATAAGGTCAAATGAACCTCAAGGTGCTCAATGACTCATTCCAAAGCAGACATTAAAACCAAAGCATCTTTGCAGGTTTTTGGAAATCTTAGCCTAAGCGGCTGGGGCAGATGACGAAGCTGAGGAATTCCTGTTCTCATAGATAAGTCTTCTCAGAAGAACTTTTTATCAACTAATAATTTATATCATAGAGATTAGCATATAGAGGTCTCTAGGAATCCGGTAACACATCATGAATAGTAACTTAATAGAACCTGTGTATAACCGGTGTCTTGAATAACACTAACAACTCTGTAGAAAGAAATGAAGGGAGCAGCTTGGAGTGGGTGGGAAGCAGTAGCCTGCAGGCTAGCTATGAGGAAGGGAGAAATAATAAGGCACCTAGTTCCTGGGAAGGGCCAGCAGGTGCATTTGTAGAGGTCACACACCTTCTGGTCAATTAGGTCTAAATCCAGAGGAACCACTGGTAAAACATCCATGGCTGCTGGCTTTGGTAAAAGCCAATTAGAGAGGCATTTATATTATAAAACCTAATTTCTAGGGAACAAAAGTGTGGAGAACTCCAAAGAGTTGCGCAAAGAAAGATGGAGCGTGGTGTATATTCAGGACTGGGACCAATGGAACCCAGTGCCAGAGCATGTGGACGTTCTTTGAGATTCCAGAGAGGGTGGCCTAAAACACTGGCCTCTGGCTGCAAAATTTAAGGCAGAATTGAACTATTTTTTACTTGTTTATTTTACATTTGACTTGTTTACCTCCTCCCAGCCTTGCATCTCAATGTTCAAGTTCAATTGTTCCTAAACGAACACTTGTTTTTCTCCACGGCTTGTCTGACACTGGGGTTAAGGTAACTGAAAACAAAGCTGTGGTGTTACAATTCCGTGGAGATCACAGACTGAGTCAAAGAAGCATGTGTGGGTAACCTTGAGAACCTGCACCTCAGCACAGCTTCATGACGTTCTTTAAGTGGGAGCTTTTTTGCCAGGCGAAGAACCACTGCAGGAGCTGGGAATGCCAAGGGCCAAGTTTGCCAAGGAGGTCCCTTTATAGGCACAAACAGAGCCCTCTCTGAGGCAGAGACTCCCCATAGCTTCTCCAAGCCACGGTGCTGTACAATAAGTAGACCGAAGTCATACCATGGGTTAGTGACAAAGCTGAAAAGAATCCAGATTGCCAGCTCCCTGTCCTACATACCAGATGTAGTCCTGCCTTCTCCTCTAGGATAAAAACATCAGGAAAATATTCTAAAAGCTTTCAAGAAGCAGTGTGGATTTTGCTGTTAAAAGGAGGAAACATTATCAAAGGATCAGAAAATTCCACAAAGTAACACAACAGTTGCTATTGCAAAACTCTGGGGGATCTCTTCTG